AAGGCAAAGGGAAAGAGGATCCAAAGAAAGGAAAAGGAAAGGGCAAACAAGCTCCTAGTGAATCTGAAGAGGCCTTCGAGGTGGAAAGGAGTGAGATTGAGGACAGTGAGGCAGTGAATGAAGAGGATGTGCAAAGTGAGGATGATGGTGGTAAACGAGGGAAAGGGAAAGCTGCACTGAAGGGAGCGTCCAAAGCTATGGCTGTGAAGGCTGTAACTAAGCCAAAGCGTGGCCAGGCAGCAGAAGAAGGCATTGACCCAAAGACTGGTAAGCGTGCCAATATTAAGGCTGCATCTAAAGCTGTTACAGGATTCCAACCTGAAGAGAAGAAGCCACAACTTCAGCTTGGAAAAATGAAGGACATAAACCTGAAAGGGGCCTCTTCAGCTATGATGGGCTTTGCTGTTCAGGGTCAGCAGAATGTTCAAAAGAAAGAGGATGCAAAAGCTCATTTAAAAGGTGCTTCTAAAGTTCTCACAGGTCTGACAGGAAAGTCCCCATTTTTTTCAAAGTCAGCCCCAAAACAGTCTAAAAAGCTAAAAAGCACATCTAGGCTTTTCATGGGACTATCTGGCAGCAAGAAGAAAAAAGGTATGACACCAAAGGCATTACAAAGTACATCAAAGTTGTTTTCAGGTTTTGGAAAGTCAAAAGCTACAGAAGACGACAAAAATAAAAAAGAGGAGGGTGGAAGAACACTCTTATTACTCAGTATTGGTGGAAAGGCAAATAAAAATGCAGCAGCTACCTCTGGACTAGGAGGCAAATTCAAAGGGTTTTTTGGTAAAAAGAAAACTGGAGCTGCACAATTCAAGAGTAAAGGATGGGCTCTGGGGAAGATATCAGGAGCAGCAAACTGGCTAACTAACAAATTCATCTCATCCAAAACATCTAGAAGACTAGGTCGCTCTGTTCGTTATGACAGGTCAAGTGTGGGGCAATATCATGGCTATCAGAATGGAGGTTATGAATATGATGAGGGTGAGTTCAGCTATGAGGAAGATGACTGTGTTCAAAGCAGTTATAGCAGAAATAATCCCCGGGAACGATATAGAAGCAGAAATCATGACAGCTATGGTCAGGGGAGCTTCAGAGGACCACATCAGTATGACTACTTTGAAGATGACCAGGAGTATTATGATTATCCTGAAGATGAGTATAGATTCTATGATGAGGAGAACAATTACTATGATCCCATGTATGAGGATGAGTATGGCTATCTTGATGATCTTGACTATTATGATCAGTATCAGTATGATGGAAGACAACCTTATGGTTATTATGATGACAGAATGGACTATGATTACAGACACCAGAGAATTGATGAATTTGGATACCCTGTTGATGGTATGGAATACTACGATGAAATGGGTTATGCTATGGAAGATGAATTTGGCTACCTTGGTAATGATGTGGAATATTATGACTATGGACACTATCCAGAGCAGTTTGACTATTATGGTGATCAGCAAAATTATTATAGTCACTATGATGGTGTTTCAGATGCCTACATGATGTATCCAGGAAATCAAAATGCATACAATCAAAACCAGTACATCTACAATGGAGAAACCGGTGCAGTTTACATTGACCCTCAGATGGTTGTTAACCAGCCATTTATATACACGGTGGAGGATGTCATGGAACCAACAGAATCCTCAGAACCGTATGGTAATGAATATGTTCAAATACCAAGAGAAGGAATGTTGACTGAGGATTCACTCAGATTCCCAAGACCACAAGTAAAATTGTTTGGAAAAGAAAAACTTGACATTTCAAGGAATGATCTTGAGATGATTCCAGACCAATTTGAAAACCAGCCACTTCCTTCGCCTATGAGCTTTCCTCTATATATTCCAGTGCAACCGGAGACTGTACAATGGACATTATCTCCCACACCTATATTAATTCAGCAAGCACCATCACCTATTATACCACCTAGTAGTCCCATTTTAACTCGATCACCCCAAATACCATCCTCACCTGTTCTTCAAGCAAGACCCTTTTCGTCTCCAATGCCAGTGTCACCTGTCCCAAGTAGACATTCTTTTGGACCTGTTGGACCCATACCACTCTCAACACCAGCATCTCCAGTTCTGTCTGCAAGGAGATTCGATCCAACTATGGGTGATCCAGTATCTCCCCATTTAGTCTATCCAGATCCCATGTTTCAGAGACTTGATTTTCCACATGAAAATATCCAACCAATAACACTGAGACAATTTAACCATCTCCCCTCACCACAGCTCTCTTTAAGACAAAGCAATTTTTCAACTCGAAGCAGCCCTGTGCCTCGCCAAAGATCTGATATGTATGAGGAAATGTGTTCGAGGTTCTCACCAAGGCAGTCTAGAATGTTTGGCCCACCTTCAAACAATAATAATGCACAAAGGCAGTTCTCTCCTATTCAAAGACGAAAATTTAGCCCCCCTTCTTCTCCACAACCATCCAGACGAGCGCCATCACCATTAGCTTCTTTAAGGGGAAAATCTCCAAACCCCCAAAGAAAGCCATTTGGTTCTAGAGTACCATCCCCTCTTGTTAATGGAAGAGAGAGTCCTCCAATGTCTCCACGAGGCTCAATGACAAGAAGAAGTCCTCCTTCTTCGCCTAGACCAACCCTGAGGCAAAGTGCTAGTCCTGCTCCTCCAATAAAATCTCGTTTCAGGCCAATTGGTAGAGGCAATCAGGAGTCTTTCATGTCATCAAGATCTATGAGGAAAAGCTCTCTTTCACCACAACCATCATTACGGAGGAGGAGCCCTCCACTATCTCCAACAATAGGCCAACAGTCACCAGAGGAGTTCTCTCCATACCCACCCCGCAGAGCCACATCTCCCATCCAAAGACCTGTGTCTCCAAGACCAATATCCCCCTTTGCTTCTAGATCTCAGAGACCTCTTTCACCATCACCATCAGCATTTTCTGGCAGAATTCAACATGACCCACAATATCTACCTACTCGTTCATCCACACATAGATTCAGAGGATTTGGTGGGAACAAAGTGCCAATGGGAACAGTTAAGCCATCTCCCGTCAATCCAATTTTTCAAAGAAAAGGTCATCATGGTACTACTCAAATGCAAAATGTCGCTCCATTCAGATCTTCTATCCATAATGCATCCATGGGTTCAGGAGCTTTGAATCAAAGTGCTAGATCCTCCCCCATCATGTTGGCAAGACAAGGTTCCAGACCAGCAGGGTTTCAAGACTCAAAAAGATTCTTTCCACCTGGAACACCAAATCCACAAAGAGGTTTTCATAGACCTGTTGGGCGAGGGCGTCCTGTTGTGACAGTACCAATAAGTCCTGTTTCTCTCAGGCAATCGATAACAGGCCAGAGTCGTCCTCTTGTAATGAATGCTCAACCACCTTTTCCTCAACAGTTTCCGATAAAACAGCCTGGAATACCATCACCACAACTCTCTATGAGACATTTTCCAACCCCATGTCCATCACCTCAGCTTTCAGTGAGAGCTGGTTCACCAATGTCTGTACGCGCTCCATCGCCGATCCTCTCATCCTCTATACAGAGAAATGCTCTGCATAATGAATTAATCAATCGTGCCTCACTCAGATCACAATTTCCGTTGAGTAGCACTCCTCAGCCTCAAGTAATAACTGAATTTGCCCAGACATTTGAACAAGGGTCATCTCCTCTACTAACAAATGCTTTACAGAACCCAAATCTGGCTGCTGCTTCATTCAGTTCACCTTTTCCAAGGTTTAAATCCCCAATGTCGCAGATTAACCAAAATTTATCTCAGAGCTGTTCTCCAGATTTTGCAAATGCATTGCAAAATCCACTTCTCCGTAATGCCACTTACCGCTCACCTCTGCAAAGGTCTGCATCTCCTCAGTCTATAGTGGCACCTCAAGAGGTTCAGGTAACTAGTCTGAGTTCTTCTCCAATGCTCTCTAATGCATTGCAAAACCCTTACCTACGTAATGCGTCTCTCACTTCCCCACTGCAAAGAATCACATCTCCATATTCTTCCACAGCTGCTCAGCAGGAACCGCAAAACATTTTGCAACCTTCTTCGGTCCTAACCAATGCACTAAAAAATCCTCAGTTACGCAGTGCCTCATACATCTCTCCTCTTCAGCGGAATACATCTTTATATGCTCCAGTGATGTCACAACCCGAACAGCAAGCATCAGTATTATCAAATGCACTTAAGAATCCTAACTTAAGAAATGCATCCTATTCTTCTCCTGTACAGAGAAATCCTACTCCTTTCCAGCAAGCACAGGATTATTCCTCCCCTTTGTCAAATGCATTAAAGAATCCAAACCTTCAAGGTGCCTCCTTTCGACTACCTGATACATCAATAATATCAAGGAATTTTGGAGGCCAAAAAGAGGAGATGACTACATCTGTTCTGTCAAATGCTTTGCAAAACCCTAGTCTCCGGAAAGCAACTTATAGGCTCCCAGATGGTACAATAATATCAAGAAATGAGCCAGCACAACCAGCTCAATCTTCTTCACTGTTATCCAATGCTCTCCAGAATCCTAACATTCGAAAAGCAAGTTACAGGCTTCCTGATGGAACACTTGTATCCAATAGCACTGATGAAGCCGCGGACACAACAAATTCCTCACCGTACCTGGGAAGAGCTCTACAGAATATTAACATGCGTAAAGCATCCTATAAACTACCTGATGGCTCTCTCTTTTCTCGAAACCAACCAGCAGAACAGTCATCCTCTCCACTTCTTTCAAGTGCTCTTTTGAATTCAAACCTTCGTAAAGCTTCCTACAGACTTCCTGATGGAACACTTTTGACTAAGAGCTCTGAACAAGAACCAGAGAAATCAATTTATTCTAATTTGTCAAGTGCACTACAAAATGTTGGTAAGGCCAACTATCGCTTACCTAGTACCTCTGGCCTGTTTAGAAATCCAAAACAAGAGCAAGCTCCCCCTTCAATGCTGTCCAGTGCCCTTCAGAACCAAAACCTTCGTAAAGCATCTTACAGATTGCCTGATGGATCAGTCATGACAAGAGGTCAACCAGCTCAAAGTGAATCTCCCACATCACCCTTCCTGGGAAATGCCTTGACGAACGTTAACTTGCGTAAAGCATCCTACAAGTTGCCGTCAACACTGGGATGTTCTCCAGAGGACCCAAGGTATGCAGTAGTGACCCCTCAGATTCAGGGCCAGTCTGGTGAACACTGGGCTCAAAATCAAATAATAGATCTTCATGAGCCAGATGATGTCTGGTCTTCAGAAAGAGTCCTCCCTCATCATACTGTTCAGAACCTCACAAAATGGTCCATGTATAGGGATGAAGAACTGGAGAATTTTGTCATCCCTGTGTTTCCTGGCCAAGAGACAGATAGCACAGAACCTGCATGGCTACCAGATAGAGAAGGTGAACCTCAAGGGAACTGGTATGACAAGGTAACATAACTGGCATATAGTTGCTCTATATAAGAAACCGTTGCTTAGTTTTTGTTGCCATCTAGACTTTACCTGTGAAATTCTCATACACTAGAAATAAATACACTAGAAAAAAATTATACAATGTCTGTGCCACTAAAACTATGCTATGGTATGACTGATCTGAAGCTTCAGATTAAACAATTAGATTAGAAAGACTGAAATTTAGGTTTAAAACTAGGGGTCAAAAATAATAACAGGCAATGTCAAATATCAAACGAAAATATTATGACTTGGCTATTTGGATTGGTTACTGCAATATAGACTATGGATGACTGGATGGATCTTTTTTTTTTTTTTTTAGAAGTAATCAATTAAAATAGAAATGACTTGGCAAACTCAAAACAAGAACAATAACCACAATGCACCAAAATACACCTACCACGACAGCTATATTACAACAGCATCAGGTATCATTTCAACAGACTTTAGTCAGGGTAGCAGCATATTAAATTTTTTGACAGAAGTACAGTGTGCTCAATTGATTGTACATGCCAGTTATTGACAAAATATCTTTCCAAAACATCTTTATGTAAACAAAAACTCAAAACCATGCATGCCCTTGCAAAGTCTATAAGACTTGTAAGCCTGTCCCACAGCTTCATTTTAATTTTTGTAAAATTCAATATGACATCCACCCTGACTAAGGTCTATAAGTAAAAATGGTGTGAAACATTGGCCTTATATCATGATTGGTTTACACATTGTTTACACAATTTTCTTTTACTGAAATGCTTTTTAGATGTACTCAATTCGAAGCCTGCCCACAATGCTGTACCGTGAACGTGCAGAGGAGGATGGCTTTGAGGACATGACACAGCTTGAGTATGAAATTACTGAATAAGATGAATGCTAAATACAAACACACACACACACACACATGTTGGTATTGGTGGTTTACGGGGACTCTTCATAGGCGTAATGGTTTTTATACCGTACAAACTGTATTTTCTATCGCCCTACACCTAAACCTACCCCTCATAGAAAACTTTCAGCATTTTTACATTCTCAAAAAAAAAAAAAAATGTAGGTCCCCACGATGACAAGAGTCCCCATGAGTCCGTGTGCATTCAGGTTTAAGTCCTCACTGGGATAGAAAAACATGTACACACATACACATACACACACACACACACACACACACACACACACACACACACACACAAACACAGTATATATGATAACTGAAATTTTGTGTTCACATTTAAAAGAAAATGCTTTGTTAAAGAATAAAACTCTTTCCAGGGAACTGCACGAAGGTGCTGTGTTACTGAATTTGAAGAAAAGGTTTGAACGCAATTTGATATATGTAAGTAAATTGCAAAGTCCACTGCATATTTGCATATCTTAGTTATAAAGAAACACATAAATGTACTATTCATGTGTTTCTTTAGAACTAAAAAGTATGTATTTTAAAACCACTGGTTAAATAACATTAAAATGCTATTATACTGTTAAAAGTTTATTATTAAGAATTTTGCATGAACTTTAAAATGAAATAAAATGAATTAAATTCTAATTAAATTCATTAATGAACTATAATCAAAAACAGATTATTAACAAATAATTTTGTTTTCTTCCAAGACTTACATTGGAAGTATTCTGGTGTCTGTTAATCCATACAAGATGTTCAACATCTACGGAACAGACATGGTTCTGCAACACAAAGGGCATGCGCTTGGAGAGAATCCTCCGTAAGTTTATAAATAAATAAATAAGTAAATAAATAAATTCATTAATTCATTGATTCATTCACAATGGTAAATGAACAAATGAATTCATTTACAGTTTTTTTGCACTGGCACTGTTATAAAATGAACTTTCTTATCAATGCAAGGTTAATTGCTTATATTGTACTTTTTTCTTTCATTTGTTGTGCTTCTCCATTGTGTCTTCAGACATCTATTTGCCATTGCAAATGCTTCATACACAAAAATGATGGATGCCAAAGAAAACCAGTGCATTATTATCAGGTAGGATTAAGGTACACTTTGATCTCACAGAATGTAAGTGAAATATTTAAAATATATTTAAGCACTGTTCAACTTAACTCATAATTATGTGGTATGGAAGATCAAACAAAGGAATTGTCAGAATTCAAATAGCTGATCTATGTCCTGTCACCTCAAGTAGTCTTTTACATGGATGGAACCATCAGTGTCAGTTCTACTTGACACAACTGATCTTCTGGAAAACTTTATACCTAGCTCTGATGGAGATAGCTGTAAGGAAAGACTACTGATGTCTAGGCCATGATTGCAGCAGCAGATCATGTCTCTGTGAAATGCACCCATGGCTGTTCACAGTAGCTGGAACGACAGTTACACTCAAGCATTCAGTTTCACTTCTGTCTGCTGATCAGACACCTAACTCATTACTTATGTGCATAGCAAAAGACAAGGAAATCGGTTCCTCGCATGCCAAGCCACATTCTGTGCCAATTTAAAGTGCAATTAAGTAGTTAAACTGGTTATTTAGGGGGTTGCAGTCATCATGTGGTTTAAATGTGCTTATTGTCTTTCAGTGGGGAGAGTGGCTCTGGTAAAACAGAGACCACAAAGCTAGTTCTCCGGTACTTAGCCGCAATACATCACAAACAGAACATCACACAGCAGGTATGAGTTAAGCTCATGAACTCTTTTAAAACTGTTAAAATTCAGTTCAGCACATTTTTTAACTAATCTTTTTCTTCTATTTAACTTTTATGCAACGATACAGATTGAGGTATTGTACTTCTGTTTGGCCTTCTGTTGTTTGTACCCTATATGTTGCATGAGTTGTTGCACTTTGGGATATGCAAGTGTGCAAAACCTTTTTTTTTATTACCTATAAAATATTAAAATATATATATATATAATAATAATAATAAATAAATAAATAATATAATTATTATTTATAATACTAAATAATAAAGCAAAAAGTGTGTTGTTCATATTGTTCAAGTGATCATATGATCTTTTTGCTTAACGGAAGACAGTAAAATTAAGACTTGTCATAGGTTGTATCTTGTAAAAAGTGTAATTTGTCTTATTGCACTGGCAGATTTTTTTAACATGTTAAACAAGTTCAAAAACAAGTGAAAAAATCTGTCAGTGAGTGCAGTAATACAATATACACTCACATTCAAGATAGCATCTATGAACGTATTTCTCATGCAGTGTTGCTTTTTTTAAGTAAATTTATCTTGTTTTAAGTATTTTAGATAGTTTAACAGGAATTAAAAGGATAGTACTTTGCAGTGTTGTATAATTACAGCAGTTTATTGCTACATCCCTCACACAGTTATGTATTTATGGCTTATTCTACAGATTCTTGAAGCAACTCCTCTTTTAGAGTCTTTTGGAAATGCCAAAACTGTACGGAACGATAACTCCAGTCGATTTGGGAAATACATGGAAATATTTATGGAAGAGTAAGTTCATCAATATCAAGTCTTTTTACTGTGTTATGGACACACCTATTAAGAGGAAGCATTTCTTTGGAGTAACTTTACAACTGAAAGAGGATAACAGGGTCAAGATTAACATGAGGCTAGTTAAAAGGCCTGTATGTTGGTGTACATGGGTTAAGTTGCAAATTACATATTAATGCTTGTCTGATTTTCTTGCTTCAAACAGAGGGGTAATCAGCGGTGCCATAACCTCACAGTATCTACTTGAAAAGTCCAGGATTGTGTTTCAGGTACTTTACATAATGCTCATATGGACATTTAAAAGTTCATCATTCAATAAACAAATTCTTTATAGACGTCTGAAAGGTTAATTTCCTTAATTTTTATCTCCTAGGCCAAAGATGAAAGAAACTATCACATTTTTTATGAGATGCTTGCAGGCCTTCATTCACAGCAGAAACAGTCTTTATACCTTCAAGAAGCAGAGACGTATTATTACCTCAATCAAGTGAGGCCATGGTTTAATCATCTAGATCATTACAGCAATAAAAGCCTCAAAAATTCAAAAGCACTGCTGTTAAACTGCTTTTCTCTTTCGTGGATGCTCTTTTTGGTTGCAAGGGTGGAGACTGTGAGATTGTTGGCAAAAATGATGGGGAGGACTTCCGCAGGCTCCTCAGCGCCATGGAAATACTTCACTTCAGTGCCGAAGACCAGAGTAGTATCTTCAGGATCCTGTCTTCCATCCTCCACTTAGGAAATGTCTTCTTTGAGAGATATGAGGTATAGTGAAATTCAATCAAATGTATCCTCCTCATTTATGATGCCCTTTTTTAGTGGTGCCATGAATTAAGTTTCTTTTTTTTTTGACTCCATATCTTGGCAGACTGAATCTCAGGAAGTGGCATCAGTTGTAAGTGCTCAGGAGATCCGAGTGGTGGCTGAAATTCTACAGATTTCCCCAGAGGGTCTACAGAAGTCCATTACTTTCAAAGTCACGGTAAGAAAAACCTGCTTGATAATGTCTTCAGTACTAAACAAAACATTATCACATGTTACATAACACAGATGTAGTTTCTATTTTTGGGTATGCTTTATACTTAGTTGAAACAACTTATTTAATAAAATTAAAATGCTATTATACTGTAAATATTTTATTATTGTAACATTAGAGTCCACTGTAGGTGAGTTGTGATGAAACCCAAGTGCAGTTTGATATCCAGAAGACTTGACTTGATCATACTTGGCTTGACAAAGAAACATGAAATGAACAAGAACTTAAACCTGAACATAAAACATGACACTCACCAACAATGGTTACAGGAGACAAAGCTAGAAAAGAGACAATAGCAACACGAGGGCTATGTCAAACAAAATGGGTGACACAATCCAAACAATGAGAAACAAGACACATGACCAAAACAACTTGAACATATGCTAGCACTGAAAGTAAAAAAAAAAAAGTCCCTCTATTTATCTTCCTCTTATCTAACTTCTACAGGAGTACCTGTATTACAGCAGCAATATAAAATATACTTATAGCGAGGATTGTTATATACAGCAGCCCAAAAACCTTTGGACACTCGAGTCAAATTTTAAATTATTTTTTTTGCATTAGATAATACAATTGTCTTAATGCATTATTGTTATTTTATTGCACTGGATAATAAAATAAACGATCAATGCAAAATGTATTTTCTTCTCAGAACTAGCATTATTTTCAGAGCCATTTTTGCACAAAATTTTACTGGATTTACAGATGATTTTCACTAGATGTAGGAAGTCAGTTTCCCTCAAGGAAGTAAGTCAGTGTAGGAAGTCAGTTTCCCTCAAGTACACACTGTAGTTCAGCAAATTAACTCTAAACATATTACACTAACGTTTGAGAACCACAAAGAGTCAATTTTGAACAAATGTTTTGTTTTTAAGTGCTTGACTGAAAAGCATGCTGTCTTTCTCTATAATAGATGACAACTGCTTTGTCATAATGACATTCATAGACTTAATGGCTTGAGTGTCTAAATATTTTTGCAGCCACTGCATATTATGTTTCACATGAACTGACACTGTTTGACACTGTTTAAGATAGACTGGACTCGAGGACATTAACAGGAAGAGTCAGTGACTCACCTCTAGACCTTACATGACCTCCAGGCAGACCTTACGTCAAGGTCCCACGCCAAGTATCAACATACTGTTAGTGAAGGATTTATCATTACATCGTTTTCTTTAAATAATTTTTCTTGGAAACACAACCATCCAAATGTCAAGACTGCTCAATTTGATAGCAAGCACAAGACACCAAAAGAAAGCAGCAAATGGTGCGTATAAGCCCCAAATCCCTCAGATAGTATAACATGCCAAGTTGATTATGGCAGGGCAGCAGGCCATATCACTGTGGTAACTGGTGTAACCCAGTCAGGGAAAACCCTGGGCAGAAACAGACATCAAGGTGCCTTGAAGCCATATCAGCCTCCCATCATAGACTGTGTGTTTTTATGTCTTTATCGTGTAGCAAATACCATCCAACCCTCTGCAGGGGTGCCACCAAGAGGTCTGACGCAGTATTAACCCTGCTTAACCAGTCCATCACAATCACATTCAACATCTCTAAAACCTAAAAGGCTGTTCTACTGTGAATACACTGCGATCAAAAGGATTGTGTAACAAAACTTTACTTTCTGCAACAGTGCTCACCAACTTTTTCAGCAGTTTAAGAAGTATTCTTCCCATTCATTTTTTTTTTCTCGTAAGGGTTTTAAATAAGGCTTTGTTATAAGTTACTTAAGGGCCATATCAGTTTCACTTGCCTACTGATAGTGCCTTAGCAACATTTCATCTCAAAGAGATCAGCAACATTTGAATAAAGCTGGTTTCCAGTAAAAGCTGGTTTCCACAACACAGTAAAAGTGTTGTGTTTTAATATAACAGAACATGTAAGTTTATCCTTTTCAGAAACCTTGCTACAAGTATTTCTGATTATTCTGTACTTTTTTTTAAACAGGAAACAATGAGGGAAAAGATCTTCACCCCCTTGACTGTTGAGAGTGCAATTGATGCCAGGTAGAAAAACTACAATGCATTTCCATATGCTATATTTCACTTAGACATAACCGGTATAACCATGGCGTTTGTACGTGTCAAGCAGAAGAAAAGCAGGCTCGGCATCTGCTTTCAAGCGCTTTGAAGCTCTCAACTTCCTCCAGGAAAGTTTACCGGTGTTCCCTCTCGTCTTGTTTGTTTTTTGGTTTCGTCTTCCTAGTCTTTTCGACGTTTGACCTTGTAAGCTGTAATCTGTAATGCTAATATTTCACACCCTACAAACTCCTGAAAAGTACTTCAGATGAGTCTATCATGCTCTCAGCGTCCGGTGGATGCAGAAAATGATTGACAGGCAGAACTCCCTTTACAAGCCTTCTGATTGGCTAAATCTGACTGCAGCCCGTTTTATTTGACTATTTACAGAGGCTATAGGGCCGTCACAGATATCGTCGGGATATGACATTTATGTCAGTTATATTTTTCAGCAAATAGGATAATTTTCTGCATAAAATTGCAACTTTAAGTGAAATTGTGTGACAAGGCACACTTCCTAGAATTCAATAAAAATTCAAAAAATTCAAAGCAAAAGGGGTTTAATAAAAAATAAAGGGGTAATGAATTAAAGACTTAATAAGAATTAAATTAATTAAAGAATTAAAGAAGAAATAAGAAATATGGAATTGAAAAAAAAGATAGTAATGAACATTCATGTGTATTAGTTTTAGCATTAGTGTCATGAAAAGTTCCAGGCAGACATTCAGAGAGCTTCATCATTATAGATGAAATGGAAAAACTGCATGTAGGGTTCTTCAGATATTATTGTCTAACTACTGAGAACTAAAGTAATCAAATTATGGTAATTTTCCCTCTCAAACAACAGAGATGCTGTTGCCAAGATCCTGTATTCCCTTCTGTTCAGTTGGCTAACAGACAGAATAAATAGGCAGGTTTATCCTCGGAATGAAGCACTTTCTATCTCCATCCTTGATATCTATGGATTTGAGGTATGCTGCTGTAACTTGTTTGCTCACCCAGTAAAAGGGTTTGCTAATACTCTACATTGCTGTAAAATTTGGATTTCGTACGAATGAATCTTTTTTGTACTTTGTAGGACCTTACCTTCAACAGCTTTGAACAGCTTTGCATAAATTATGCAAATGAGTACCTTCAGTTCTTTTTCAACAGGGTCATTTTCAAAGAAGAACAAGTAAGCTGTCTTTATTCACTCTAATCCTCTGAGAACTGTAGATGAGTAAATTGCCTGTGGTATGCATCTGAAAAATGATTTTCTTTTGAATATCCAAGGATGAATATAACAGAGAGCAAATCAACTGGGAAGAGGTGCCTTTCTCTGACAACCAGGCCTGCATTGACCTCATTGCAGCAAAGCCTCATGGGATACTCCGAATTCTTGATGATCAGAGCGGGTTTCCACAGGTGTCATTTCTTCTTAATGTTCAGTGTTCTTGTTAGTGTTTATCTATTCATCGCTACTAGTTTGCATCACATTTTAATTAACCTTTTAAATAATTTTTCTACTAGGCTACAGATCATACCTTCCTTCAGAAATGCCACTATCACCATGGCAACAATCCACTGTATTCCAAGCCAAAAATGCCTCTCCCTGAATTTACTATCAAGCATTATGCTGGGAAGGTCACTTATCAGGTGCATTTAAACTACTTGCTTTGAGCTATCAAATATTTGAATTATTCCCTAATAAAGTATTAGTGGAGGAATGGTCCGAACGTTTTGTGATGCTTCACAGGTTCATAAATTTCTGGATAAGAATTACGATCAAGTTCACCAGGATGTTCTTGACCTTTTTATTCAGAGCAAAAACAAGGTAAGAGAAATTATTTAGCCATCATTAGCTAGGAATTAAATGACCCTAATAAACGGAACCTTATCTCACTGTGGTTTTAGATGGTTGCCTATCTCTTTATGAGCTATGCTGAGGTCCTCAACCAACAATCCCATGTTGGGAAGAACAGCACAGTAACGCGGCGATATCAGGCCTCAACGGTGGCAGCCAAGTTCCAACTATCCCTCATGGAGCTCATTGAAAAGATGGAGAGGTAGACCACCTAAAGTGTGCATTACGCTGTCTACATGAATCTCTTGTTGACTTTGATTAGCTTCAGATCCATGTACGTTATTTATCACCAAGTACTTTCATCTATTTTGTACTAACAGAGCCAACCCATATTTTGTGAGGTGCATAAAGCCAAACCAAAACAAGGTAAGGAACAGGAGTCACTGGGTTCAGAGGTATTAAGCTATTTGCATCTTGGCTGGAATTGAAATTGATTGAGAGAGTGTGTATAACACCGCAGGAGCCTGGTGTGTTTGACATGGAGCTGGTCAGTGCCCAACTTAACTATTCTGGGATTTTGGAAACAATTCGAATCAGAAGTGAGGGCTATCCGATCAGAATGCCATTTGATGTCTTCCTTTTCAGGTAAGAGCTAGAAGTGTCAAACTAAGAAGAGGCAATTTAAAGACTCAAATTGAATTAATTATTCAATTATTTGGTTGTATTAAGATACAAGTCCCTGCTAGGCCTCAAACAGCCGCCTCCTGCCAGTGGTGAAAACTGTGTCATCATGTTGAGGAAGCTTTGTCCTGTTAGACCAGGAGCATTTCAAGTCGGTGTCAGCAAGGTGAGCATGATTCTGATAAGTGCACTTGTCACTTTTCACCTAGTCTTAGGCTGCATCCGAAATCATATACTTTCCTACTATATAGTAGGCGTAAAACATATGTGAAAAGAGTAGTATGTCTGAATTCACAGTATTCATAAAACACACCTGGATGACTTACTACTTCCGGCGAGATTCCGAAGTGCACATCTGATGGATACTTTAGCATCCCATGAGGCCATAGTAGATGAGTTATGAATGGCAGTGAAGCAACATAACTGATGTTGGTAGGTCACATGACAATGACAACATGACAGATGTAGTATGTCTGGATTTCATTCATACTATAAAGAATATACTTTTTAATGATTGTAAAGTAATTACTTATTCAAAAGAAGTTCCTACTCAGAGAGTATGCGATTTGGACGCAGCCTTAGTCTGTCACACCACCCACAGGTAGTCCTTGGCACAGATATTTTACAATGTGGACCAGACTTTATGATGTGAAAGGTCTGGCTACATGAGCTTTGCACATTTTGTTTGTTAGTTGTTCATGAAAGAGGATATATACTTCCTGTTGGAGAGCAAGAGGGACAGAGTAAGGCACGTAGCTGCCCTGATTTTGCAGCGTTACGTCAGGATGTTCTTTGTGAGAAAACGCTATACGGCCTTCCGCATGAAGATCATACGGCTGCAGGCCCACTGCCGAGGCTTTCTCACAAGGTACAAACTATCATTTATCACTCTAAATCTTTCTGGCTCCTAAGACCCTTTTTGTAAAATATTATTTTACATTCTTTGCACAGAAAACAGTATGTGAAAATGAGAGCTAGCCTGGTGAAATTCCGCTCTCTGATCCATATGTACGTTGATCGCAAGAGATACATTAAGGTAAGAACAATGCGGTTTTAGTGCATAGTGGTCAGGCTGAGCAACAATCCCACATTTAATAGTTTTGCTTCTTTTTCTTTTCTTTTAGCTGAGATACGAGGCCAGGAGAAAGGCAGAAGGGGAGCAAAGGAGAATAGAAATGGTTATAATGACATTTACTGTCTAAATGGACCACATTTTACTGTATTTCTTATGCCTACAGCATATAGGGTGAAATATTATGAAATTGTTTCCACTGAAAAACTTATATTGATCAAAATCTGTTCTGAATAATACACTATATCCTTTATTTGCAGGAGCTGTCTAAACGGGAAGTGGTCAGCGTCACTCATCTGGTCATTCCAGCTGAACTTGGAGCATTGCTGCAGGCAGCCGCTGGTACTGCATTTTCTCACGCTAAGAAACACTAATATAACATAATATATATTTAAATAAATGATATTGAACTTTCTGTTTATCAAAGAATCATAAAAAATGTATCAAGGTTTTCACATAAAGCAGCCTAAAGCCATAAAGCAGTTTCTTGAGCACTAAATCAGCATATTAGAATGGTTTCTGAAGGATCATGTGACATTGAAGACTGGAGTAATGATGCTGAAAATTCAGCTTTGCTTAATTTAAAATATAACTTTGCTTTGCAGTTTAAAATATATAAAAATAGAAACAGTTGTTTTAAACTTTAATAATATTTCACAGTTTTGCAGTTTTTTTACTGTATTTTTTCATCAAATAAACAGCCTTGTTGAGCATAAAAGATTAAAAATCCTTACCGACCCCAAACTTACAGTAGTGAACAGTAGCATGTATATACAGCATGCACTGCCTGTCTCACTTCTCACCTCTCACGACTTTTTAGGAGGTAGAGAGCTCCATTCTGATTGTTTGGCTTTAGTCCAGGCTCCCACAGTTCAGGTGGAGTCACAGCTCACGCTACCTCTTGACATCAACAACTACACTATTTCCAAATTTGTCCAGATTCACTTCAAAGTAAGACTTGCTTAAGCAATTTATTCCAAAATCACAAATAATCTCTCGTACTCAGATATTTTTTTCTGGTCTGACTGATATACCGTATATTAAGTTGTATGTTTTTTTTATTTTTTTTTATTTTGATGAATGAATAGGAGGCAAAGTTTGGAATGTTAACTGCACCTTTAAAGACACCACTAACCCACATTGATGACGATCTTATACATGACGCTCTAGATGTCTTTATCATGGTACGCTGCATTATATTCTGTTAAAGATTTTGTCTTTGCCATCTATTATAGTGTACATGCAATAGAGCTCAAATGTGAGTTCTGGCATGAAAATCCCATGAATTTTCTCCATAGAGTAACAGATTTTTAACAATAACCTATAAACCCTTCAACACAGACCTATTATGAGCACGAGATTGTTATGTGAAGATATGTGCCTCTGTTGTAGCCATAAGTCAGTGTGATTTCAACTTCTTTAGCATTGTTATTTCTTTCACTTTGTAGATCTTGAGGTTTATGGGTGACCCATATCTAAATGGTGCTCAGGAGAATTTATTTGGAAACTACATCATCCAGAAGGGGCTTACCAACCCTGGTTTGCGGGATGAAATCTTATGTCAAATTGCCAATCAGGTTTGGAGAAACACCAATCCAGATAACTCAGAGAGAGGCTGGCTGCTGCTGCTAGCCTGCCTGAGTGCATTTGCACCATCGGCCAAAATGGAAAAATACCTTCTGAAGTAAGCAACACACCAATATTTACATTGATTATGTCACAAACTACATTTGAGCCTTCATTATGTTTTGGCTTTTATATGCATTAGGTTTGTCTCAGATCATGCCTATAATGGATTCAAAGCTGCTGGCCAACACAAGCTCATTCAAGCCACGCAGAAGTCCCTGTATGGACCGGAGGCTGCGAGGACTTACCCATTGTCCCTTCTGGAATGGACAGCCAATAGGAAGAAAGCAAACATGGTTTTGCAGGTGCACTGTTTTGATGGTGTGTGTCAGTTTCACTTGCACTGTTTGAGTTTCTGCAACCTTGAGTCAGTGTTGGCCAGTTAAAACTCTAAGGGTGGGTTGCATAATAAAAATGAGTCAAGGTCTAATTCAGTTGCATTTAACTTTAAACCTTAACTAAACTTTAAGTCTTGTTGCACCATTACTCTAAATTACATTTGAATTAAAGTTTAAGTAAAATAACACCTTGATTAACAAATCCTTGATTACCTCACATTTCTGCCTAATTTAGTCTTTATTGGTGCAACCTCCCCTCAGTTTTTACTCTTTATACACACATTTCAGCACTAACCCCTGCTGGAAAACAACAACTGTAACAGCCTAAGATGGTTGGGTGGTTTTATCTGGTGTTACAGTCTGGTCATAGCTGATTACAATAGCAGGCTGTTTTTAGATTGGTTTTGACTACTACTTTAGCTGGCCAGGCTGGAAGACCAGCTGACCAATCAGCTAAAACCAGCTGAAACCAGAATATTTTGAGATACCCTTGTTTGGAATGAAAGAGATATGCACACTTATATAAGACAAACTCAATAGATAGCGTACAAAACAGTTAAATAAAGCCCTGAAAGGCTCTTCCATCATTGTAATCTCCTAAATCAGCCAGACAGGTTCCTTTGTTTCTTAAAACCCTCTGGAGACAATTGTGTAAAGCGCATCTATATCAAGTGATACCTGATCTGTAGTGCTATACAGAATAGAAACAGACATTTGCGTGTAGTCTTCACTTCAAACCACAGCTGTTAAAAGTCATGTTCTATTGACAGGGACATCTTTCCTTTGCCCTATGCACTCCTGGACGAGTGGGGAGGATTTGGCTGGAGATATTCTACAGCATAGGTACACAATCATGCACAAACTATCCTTATTGTATTCCTTCTTTTGTTCCAACCGTTTTTCTCTCCAATGTCAGCCAACACATCTTTTGATTTTGCTCATTTTCAGCCAGTGTAGGTGTTGTAATGTTACCATCTATTCATCACAAGGAGCTTTTTAACATGCTGTATGCCATGTCATTAGTGCATGGCTCTTTCTTTTGGACATGTTGGGATATGTCCAGTCTATAATGAGGCCTTCGTTATCTCTGCCATCTGTAATTTGCCTGAAATGAATAGTCTCATTAATTGGATCCGCAGGGGTGTGACGGAGGCCTGGAAGGGGTGTTCTGTTATCATGAAGGAGCACGGACAGTGGGCGGAGCTCGCAGGGCATGATTATGTAATGGACTTGATCGCAGACATGGAACTGATGAGAAATTTTCCCAAGCAAAAGTCCTACTTCATCATTTCCGCTGAGAGTCCCACCAGAACTAGGTCCAATGCCAGTCTGTCAGTATCTACATGATAGTCTTGCATGTTTATTGTACTTTCATTTACACTGGAAATGGGTTATGTACTCTAATATGATGCATGATCATAAATATGAGTTATATTTTAATAGATCTGTTTTGCATGTAATTTAAAAGTGAGTTAAATGTGTGTCATTTCTGTGGCATTAGTGGCTCCAAACTAAGGACTAACAGTGCTTGAAAATGTTGTTTAGTGCCACTAGCAGCACAGAAATGACACACTTCACCTATAAGGCACAAAAAGTGAATATTTATATTATAAATATAAATAATTTCTGTTAATGCTCTGCTAGCTGATTTGTCATTCATCTTGGACTTTATAATGACATCTAGTGGGTGACATCTAGGGTTTCAGTTACAGATGCCATTGTAGAAATGCCCTATTCAAAGCCATAAGTGATTAATTCCCCTAGTAATATTGTCCAATAACAGGGAGCATGTTGGGATAAGGTGAATATTATTCATAGCTCAGTATCATGTGGTCCTAATATATTGTCTGTGTGCTCTCTGTGATGCAACCTGCTCCATGTATAATTAAACAGCTTTGTACTGTATATGCCACTGATCTAATGTACATCATGTTAAATATTTTTTGTTATTCTTTATAATTTACTTTTTAATGAGCAAAAAATACATTGTTAATTTTTTTAAGTGTAGTTATAGGCTAAGTATATTTTTGCAGTGTTATTGGATTGTTATCTAATATTTTGTCCTCAATATGAACTTTCACAGGGCTCTGTTTGGAAGCGGATTTGATTCTGATGATGACAGCTCACTTCTGCTCCCTCAGACAATGCCAAGCTCCAGTCTGCCATATTCAGCTGGATATTACAGCCACGGTCAGCTGTTTTTTTGGGCTAGTTTTTAAGCTGTTTTTACATATTCTGTACAAAGCAAATTGCATGATTCCTGTTTTTTTTTCCCATTACCTGTAAAAAAATAAAAAATAGAATCAGACTTCAGTGAGGCACCAACTCAGAAAGGCATGGACAGATATCTCGACAGCCTGTTTGACCCAGTTCTGTCTGATGGTAATGGGGTAGGTGTTTCTTGTTCATTAATGCCTAATTCAGATAAGTGTAAATGTAATAAAAGTAATATTATTTGGAGGTTAAATGCAACTATTTATGGAAAGAAGCTTAAAAATATAACAAGAATGCATGAAGAAAACAACTGGCCACTTGATCCTCATGGAGTAAGTGATTGAGTGTATCAAATGTGCTCTATGGGTGCCAGGTCCCCTGCATTGGGTGTGATTAAGTTACTAGTTTACCGTATTTCTCGCAGCATTGAGCGTACCTTATTTTTTTGCTATTAGCGTTGTCATTTTGAGATAATATCTGGTGCTTATAAACACATATAGAGATATGGCAGTGGGATTTTCATACAAAAATTTGATTGAGGGCACTTGTAAAAAATAAGCATGAGAATTTTTCAGTCAAAAAGGACTAGTTTAAAGTTATTATTTTTTGCTAACTTAAAGATCCTAGACTGGTTATGGAAAACCAGACTCTTGTGGTCTAGGCCAGCATGGTTCTGTCTCAATTGCACTAGTAAATGGGCCTTGCTCCTCTTAGAGAGTTTAAGGTACTCCCATGGGGAGATTGATTTCTCGTATGACTGAGCTGGGATCGGTCCAGCCCAGAGTTGAGAGCCTGTTTTGCTTTGCCTTATCTCTTCTGCAGGATTTTGAGAAGTCATCCAGCATGTCCAGCCGTATGAAGGGAGCTGGTGGGATTGGAGGGCAGGATGGTGACAGAGAGAAGCCCCTCTCCAGCAGGCCTTATCCCCCCGGACTGCAGCCTGGTGGTGAGCTCTGCATCTGTTCTCTTTCTGCTCTCTCCTTACCACACATCAATTATGCATTGATACCCTAGGGTCAATTGGTACCTGAAAGCAATCAATTGCCGGATAAACATTCAGACTTGCAAATTATGTAAACCGCACATTTGCAAATGCTTTGCATGGTAAATGATCAATGTACCGTTTAGACTGATTTAATGCTTTGGTGATTTTAAGTGACTGTGGCTTTTGGTGATTGGTGTTCCATGGGTCATTCTATAAAATGGGTGCCATTTGTGTTCCTTATACGTATGTGTAAAAAAACAAAAAAACAAACACTTAACAATAAATAGCTGATGGCAACTTTTGTACTTTTTTTTTAATTAACAAGAATGCAGAAACATTATTTTAATTATATTTTTGTAAACAATAATTATATATTATTCTAATTATATATTCTAATTATATTTTATTTATAAAATTATATTAACATTTTAAGTTATTTAGTTAGCTTAAGGTGCAACATAATTATGTCATATGTTTACAATTTTTTTCACTTGAAACAAATAAATGTTACCTGAAATAAAATATAAAAACTTAAAATGTGTTTTATTTCAGCAACATTTCTCATTTTCGTTTAGCTTAACTTGAAGTGCTCAAATAACTAAAACTAAATAAACTAAAACTAATTAATAAAAATGAATAAAAACTATAGATGAAAACCTAATACAAACCTAATTCCAAAAACAGAAAAACACAACAAAATTACTAGAACAGAAAACATAAAAATTACATCTAATTCAAAATATTAACAAAAAATGTACTAGTTTATCAATGATACTTAACTATGTATATTAGGGATGCACCGAAATGAAAATTCTGGGCTGAAACGGAAAATTCTGGATGCACTTGGCTGAAAACTGAAACCGAAAATGCTTTGTAATAATTATTTACTATTATTATCACACAGCGGGGAGCAGATCAGTGAACGAGAGGGTAGCATTTTACCAGCGTTGCCATGTTACAGCACACTAGCGCTATTGCAAACAGGAGCAAATATACTACATAGAAATGTCCTGACGGTGCGTTATTTGAGCTGACTTTTTTTCCCGAAATTTCAGTGCATCTCTAATATGTGTATACTATATATATATATATGGTCTGTTTTGATTTTATTTTGTGTGAATATACATATAATATTGACCTAATTTGTGCAACTTAATTTAATTAGACTGTTTAAAACTTTTCTTGACTTGAAAAAACACCTTTTGAAATAGTAAAAATTTGAATATTTTTAGCACATCCATCCTGTTAATGAACAACATATGCTACAAGGTGTTTATTTCACTTTCAGCAGTATTGTTCATGTTTATTTTATATAGGGGGTCAGCACAGCTAATTGGGTTTCGTCTGACCTCAAACCCCTAGCCTAGCCAATCCTTGCATTAAATCGTTTGATTAAGACATGTTAAAGGGGTCAATGCTTACTGATCCTTAGCCATATTTACTGTCCTCAGCGGTGCCAGTTCTACCTGTAATGGGAGGAACAATGATGCCACCTATACCTATGCCAGCTATGTCTTCTGTGCCTCATGCACACGCCCCTACCGCCGTACCTTCAGTACCCCTAATGCCAGCTATGCCTTCTATGCCAGCTTTGCCAGCTATGCCACCTTTGCCAGCTATGCCTAATGTGCCACCAATGCCTGATATGTCAGGTATGAATGCTGCATAAATGACGCTTTCCGCTGATTTATTCCCTGGGATCATTCGTGTAAGACAGCACTGTTTATTTCTGTGTGTTCTAATCACAGTTATTAGAGTACATCTGCTTTATCTCTAAAGGTGTAGATCCGGCTGTCTTAGCACAGCAGCAGCAAGCCATCATCAACCAGCAAGCGATTATATTGGTGAGCACGTACAGCATGACTTAAACTCGCAGTTAAATGCTAAATGCGTTTGAATACTGTGCTAATGTGATGTACCACAGGCTCAGCAGATGACAATGCAAGCCATGGCCCTCCAGCAGCAGATGTATAATTCAGTGCCAGCTCCCCGCTCCAGCCAGTACAGCCCTGTGAGTATCTCTGAGCACTGATTACAATATAGTCGATAAATCATTAGATATCAAGAGAACTCTTTGATTAGATTAGAATGGCATATATAGAAGTCATATAAGCACTTTAAATTCCCACATGCACCAAGTTTGAGGTCTGTAAGATTTTGAATTTTTTTCAAAGAAGTCTCTTATGCTCACCAAGGCTGCATTTATTAAATAAAAAAAAAATATTGTGAAATAATATTGCAATTTAAAGTAACTATTTTCTATTTGATTATATTTTAAAATCAAATTTTTTCCTGTGATGGTAAAACTGAATTTTCAGCAGCCATTACTCCGGTCTTCAGTTTCACATGATCCTTCAGAAATCATTCTAATATGCTGATTCTGCTCAAGAAACCTTTCTTATGGAAACCATGATACATTCATTTTCAGGATTCTGAATAGAAAGTTAAAAAGAACAGCATATATTTGAAATAGAAATCTTTTGTACATATATACGTATATATATACAGTATATATTTGAACATACTGATGGACAGTTAATAAAATCATAAGCTGTTGTCATCATTTTTAATCATTAAGACCAAACAAGAAACTGGACCTGTTTCCTACAAACCAACCCCTGCTTCTCCACCACAGAAATCTTCACAGCGACAGTACAGTATGTCATTACATCAATCTATATACACCTTCATTCTTAATTTTACTCATTAAAATGACTATTTAATTATTCTGTTGATATGTTTCCAAAGGCCCAACTAGAAGGGATCCACCAGCGGGAGATGTGGTGCGAACCACTATCTCAAACTCTGAACATTTAGAGCCAAGTCACAACATCAAAGACATTATCAAGCAGTACCAGACAAACCCTGTAAAACCAACAGAGATTCCCAGGTGAGAAATGAACATTTTTAGATCCAAAAGCCAGTTCCACATCTTTAATAATGAATGACCTGAACTGAAAACTGATACACAGCTAACCAATGTTCTCCTTGACCTTGCAACAAAACATTGATAAAATATTAAACAAAAGAGATCTTTAAATTAGAACAGAACAAAGACCAAAGCTCTAAATGTACTGGACTTCAATGCAGGAGGGAAGCTAAAGTGTTTTTGAAGAAACCAGACCCCCATGATGAAGCTATGATGATTCTTAAGGACCAGATGAGTGCTCCATCTCCACAGGTAGATCAGTCATAGTTTATTCACAGATAAACTGACAGTGATAAAGTCATACGAGTTAAAATGATGTAAAGTATTACTAGTAGGCTTTAGTATTATCATTGCAGTTAATGCTTAGTATATTGGTGTCCCACACAACTAGCGAAAGAAAACCTACACTCCAGCCTCTCCCTCGTCATCTGCAAAGGAGTATGATTATGATGGAGAGGCACTGAAACCAGCAAAAAGCATAAAGATGAAGCGATCACCTCCTGTGCCAGCTGTTAGTCAGAGATTCCCGGCCGCTGCACCTGGTAAACTCCGATCATCTATGTAATTTAATTTCAGTTCAATATAGAAGTCATTTTAGCAAGGCTATTGTGTTGCATTACAGTATCTAGAGAACTTCCAGTAGAAGAGGAGAATCTTCAGACTCAGCTGCACAAGAGGAGCAGTGAAGAGCACTACACCTACACCAATGTACCATGGAAGATCTACCTGAGGAAAGAGGCTAGTGTCATTTGTGTTTTGATGGGTCAATGGGACACAAGGCCTTTGCTCTAAAATATGGAAGTCATTATGAAACATTCAATTTGTGTCATCTGTTTTTAGGTTTTTTATCCGAAAGACAGCTTCAACCACCCGCTGATGCTAGACCTCTTGTTCAAGCAGGTTTGATATTTTTTTGTTTGTTTTTGTTTTCAGTTCACTTTGGTATTAGGGCTATCAATTGATAATCTTTATCTTGTAATTTTAGTGTTAACATTAATACATTCAGTTTCTAAAAATTAAATAACAGGTTCATGTGTAACTATTTGTTTTGGCGGATGAAGTGTGGATAAAACATGAGGCATGCATTTATGGAATAGTGCTCTTTATTTGTCTTACAACAATCAATAATCCATTTATAATTCAATAATAAATAATAAAATAACAATAATTCCAGAATAAAATAACAAAAGCCACTTTATGGACATAATCATAATAAGCATAATGCTCAACAAGTCTGCACTGCTCAAAAATACACTTAAAACAGAAATAGTGTGAATTTATATTACAATTTTAAATGTTTTCTACTTTAATATATTTTAAAATGTAATTTATTTCTGTGATGCAAAACTGAATTTTCAGCATCATTACTCCAGTCTTCAGTGTCAAATGATCATTCAGAAATCATTCTAATGTGCTGATTTGATGCTTAAGAAACATTATTATCAATGCTGAAAAAAGTTATGCTGCTTAATATTTTTGTGGAAACTGTGATACATTTTTCAAGATTTTTTTTTTTGGTGAATAGAAAGTTTAAAAAACAGCATTTATTTGAGCTTTGACTCTACTGTCATTTTTGATCAATTTACTTGCTGAATAAAAATATTAATTTCTTTCATATTTATTTTGGTAGTCTATGTAAAGGTATTTGTGGTTGGTTGTACTTTTATCAACTATAATTACAAATAAACTTTCATCTCAGATTGTCCATGACACATTCTCAGAGGCTTGCATTCGCATTACAACAGAAGAAAGGCAGAAGATGAAATCCCTTTTTGGTATGATTTTTTTGTTGATTAGTTCTCTTAGATCCACATTTATCTCATGTAATATGTGAACACTGCTAATGGAGAGGAAAATGTTGTCTTCTGTATTGTGACAGCGGAGCACAACATTGACATGAATGCCACAATCCAGGATGAGAATGTGAAGAAGAAGATTGTGGTTGCTGCAAGAGACACCTGGGAGATCTACTTCTCACGCCTCTTCCCAGCATCTGTAAGGAATCTCTAGACCAACGTAGACCAGCATGAATTTCAGAGCTGGTCCTGGCTGGTTTATGTTGGTCAGAGCTGGTTTAGCGGGTGGCCCAGCATAGCACTCTGTTCACAATATGTAAATAGTGAAACTACGTATTAAGCATGGTTCTGGTGAAGCTAGTCTGGTGTTGTCTTGCATGTCAGCAGCATCCAAAACACATCATACTGTATTCTGATGTTTTAAGCAGGCATTTGCTGCATCATAATGCTATTTAGACCAAGCTGAGGTCACATTCTTCCTGAACAGGGCAGTGTTGGCACAGGGGTCCAGGTGCTGTCTGTATCTCATAGAGGGATCAAGCTTGTGAAAATGGTCAGGAGCAGTACGGTAGCCCCAGACTACTTCAGAGTTCTGCGACCCTACAGGTACCAGTTACTGAGACTTTTAATGTCTGTATTTTAATTATTGTTTTTAATTAAATTGTATTTTTAATGACACAATTAATGACACTGCCATCACACCATGAATATTCTTAGTTGTGGATGTATTGTGATCATTGTTAACGTCTTACAGCTACACAGACATCATGTTCGTCACCGTTCCTTCCAAAAACATGCTGGAGTTCAACCTCACCAGTGAGAAACTGATTCTGTTCTCTGCCAAAGCTCCTCAGGTCAAAACCATGATTGACTACTTTATCACAGAGCTGAAAAAGGTCCGTTCTCACACACATTGGTTTGCTTCGGAGATGATGTGGCGCTGTGCGTTAATTGTGCTCTCTCTCGCTTTAGGACTCAGACTATGTCGTTGCTGTGCGTAATTACATTACAGATGACAGAACGCTGTTGAGTTTCCACAAGGGAGACATCATACACTTGCAGAAAATGGAAGGCCTAGATGCAGGTGAGACTGCTTTAAACCAAAAGTGGTCATGAAGACCTGACTTTACCCTTTACCCTACCCTTATATTTGCAGTAATAGCCAAAAATACATCGTATGGGTCAAAATGATTGATTTTTCTTTTATGCTAAAAATCATTAGGATATTAAGTAAAGATCATGTTCCATGAAGATATTTTGTCAATTTCCTACCGTTTCAGCTTTCAGATAATGTATAAATCTCAATCTCAAAAATATTGACCCTTATGACTGGTTTTGTTGTCCAGGGTCACAATTTAAAATGTAATTTATTCCTGTGATCCTTCAGAAATCATTGTAATATGCTAATTTGCTGCTCAAGAAATATTTCTCATTATTATCATAATTGTAAAAACTATTATGCTGCATAAAATATTTTATTCAGGATTCTTTGATGAATAGAAAGTTCAAAAGAATAGCATTTTTTAAAATAGAAATCTTTTGTAACATCATACATGTCTTTACTGTGACTTTTGGTCAATTTGATGCATCCTTGCATCAAAAAAAAAAAAAAAAAAAATTTCAATGGTAGTGCATTGATATAATATAGACAGAGAGTATACTGAGGATGCAAAAGATGTTATAAAAGGCACAATAACTTGTTAATCTAAGCTCTGTGGCTGTTTCACAGGCCAGTGTTATGGTTGCATAGTGAAAAAGAAGGTGATTCTCCTGGAGGAATTAAAAAGAGACACACCTGATTTTGGTGGGTTGTGTGTGCACACCTGCATGGAGTGTGTCTTGATGTGCTGTTTTATAGTGCTGCACTTAGCAGTATCATTGCAGTTGAGTTGCTGGTGTGCAGACATATCTGAAATTCAGTATCCCTAGTTGCATGTATAAAACCTGTCTTCCTTCCTTAAGCATGATGGTTTCCCTGCTGCTTTTTATTCAGGCATTTCAGTCTACTCTTAAAATGTAATTCTGCTGTCACACACACACTTTCACACACCATGTGTTGTATCGTACTAAGGCTGGAAGTTTGGGGCCATTCATGGGCGATCTGGGGTTTTTCCTGTGGAGTTTGTTCAGCCAGTGGCTGCTCCTGACTTCATTAACATTCCTGTGGACAAGAAAGAGGAACCCAAGAATAAGCAGGGTCGCGTGGCCGCATCAGCAGCTGTGGCTGTGGCTGTAGGGTCTGCTGCCGCAGCCAATGAACTCGACCGGTCAATTGAGGTATGTCTTTAACAGGCATATAGTCTGAAATTCGGATTTACATGTACCATAGATCCTTCTGAGTGCCGTTGTGTTGCTGCATTTCACCTATAGGTGGCGTCTTCTGTCAGTGAGTATGCAGCGGCCTACACAGACAGCACTGATATGGACATCGATGAGAGAATCTTGCAAGACAGCCAATACAACATGGTGGAATTTGCAAAGAAATATTTCAGAGGGGCCCAGAGAAAAAATGGGTCAGTTGATTACATCATAAGGGAACTTGTGAGCTCAGGTTCTCACAGTTACATAGTTGAATTAAAAGAAAATGTGTAATTGAAACATTGAAATGCTTATATTTTGCAGTGATTCATATAAGAAAAAGTCAAAGAAAACAAAGGAATCTAGGGAGCCATCAGAAATGGTGAAATTTTCCAAGGTATAGAATGCATGCCATACTATCACTTTTAAACATGTTCAAAAGAATAGTTAATTTAAAATATATATTCTGCCATTATTTACTTTATAATGAATGGAGGGGGGAGGGGCATTAAAGTGGTCCATACATCTTGTGCACTATATTCCAAGTCTACTGAAGTCATATGAGAGCTTTGTGAGAGGAACAAATTTAATTTTAAGTTATTTACTAAAATTGGATAATTCAGTTGAAAAGAACCATCTCAAAGAATGAGTCATTCATGAATTGTACATTGGAGATCTAGGGTGAATATAATGTTTTTTCTTTCAGTGAATAATGGCTTAAATTTTGAACTGATGTCATATAGATCAGTGTGGCATCAGAAGACTTGAAGTATTTGAACACCTTTTATATTATTATTATTATTATTATTATTATTATTACTACTACTACTATTGAAAAAAGATTGGTTTGGAATTACAGGAGAGTGAGTAAATGATGACAAAATTGTAATTTATTTTGGTGAACTATTCCTATAAGTTCGAGACCATGAAGCAAGACCTTAAAAGTTTAAATATTTCTGATACATATTCTGATTGATTTTTGCTTTGGTTATGTAGTCTCCAATTCAAGAGTCCCTAATCGAGTTCACTGATGAAAACATGAACAAAGTAGCTGCAGAGATTTTTCTTGGTAAGCAGAATGTTCAATATGAACTTATTAAGAGGCTTTTTTTTACTGTCATCTATAAAAATGTAATGTTTACTATGTAATTCAACTTAAACAATTCTTATCTTGCAGCTATAATGAAGTTTATGGGAGACTACCCTATGAAAGGCCAGACTGAGCAGGAGGTCATCAGCACCATCCTAAGGGTATGCAACTCTTCAAATAGCGCAACAAGAATTCCCATCATGAATTATTAAGATAACCAGACAGGAATGTGCTAAATGTTTTCAATGCCACTGCAATATGCAATATGAATAATCTATGTTGCAGCTGAGTGGCGAGTATGGACTAATGAGAGATGAAGCGTACTGCCAAGTCCTCAAGCAGATCAGTGGGAACACCAGCTCCAAGACGTATGAGTCTGCTTCTTTCTGAATGAAAAAACCATGGAGGGCTCATTTTAATGTGCCAGGCAGAGTCATAAGATGATCTTTTCTGTATTTCACAGGGAGAGTTGTCAGAGGGGCTGGAGGCTGCTGTACATCCTCACTGCGTACTACAAGTGTTCAGAGGCACTCAAACCTTACCTGCTGAAGTACCTCCAAGACGTCTGTGCAAGTCCAGGGGTGCACTTTCAGGGTATACTGCTGTTTTAAGTACAAGTTACAGCTACACATGAATGAATACTGAATCAAGCGTAGTGTTAGTTCTGGCAGGTCACGTTAGTCAAGCTCGCATCAGCTGACTCTCAGCTGATCCCCATCAACCTATGGGAATACGACACCTATCTAAGCATTCATATATAAGGTCCCACAGTAGTATCAGCAGTTTTCGCATTGCTCAATAGCTAATTACCCTCCTCCATCCCCAACTCCTCCTGTCAGTCAGGATTCAGCCTTCTGATTCTCCTTTGAATCAGACTAATTCTAAAATGTGTACATAACATTATTGAACTTTAACGATATCTGCAATACATTTATGTTGGTTCTGTTCTGTTTACCCTGGGGGGGGTTATCGCTGCTCTCCCTGCTCTCATCCATGCTAGGCTGCATGGATGCGCAGGGAGTTCTTGCCCAGAACGGAACCATACCGCCAATCCAAACTGTATGCTAATTGTCAATCATCTTTGACGATAGTGGTCTTGACAGAACTGATGATTACACAAACATGATATATTGACAGGAATTGCCAAGTCTTGTGAGCAGAACCTAAAGAAGACGTTTCAATATGGTGGACGCGCTGAACATCCTAATGGGATGGAATTGAAAGCTATGCTGGTTAGTTGTACATAAACAAATTTTAATGCTAATTTTAGTGACATTTTCAGCTGTTTCTGCTTAATCATGCACAATCCAACATTTTCAAGGCTGGAAGGAGTTCCAAGCGGCAGTTGTTTCTTCTTCCTGGTGGAATTGAACGCCATCTAAAGATCAAAACCTGCTCAGTATGTTGACTCTATGATATTTATTTCAACTTGATCAACCATGTAATTAATTTAGTGGGAACAATGTGATTCTAATTCACTTTTGTTATATTGGAGGTGTCTTTGGATGCCATTGAAGAGCTGTGCTATGAGATGGGTCTGCATAAACTTGAGGCCTTGGATGAGTATGCTGTATTTGTGGTCACAAACAGAGGTGAGATGACCAAAAGGAAAATGCTAAATCAAAATCTAATATCAGATTGTTTGTAGTAGCTGATATGGAAGTTCACTTATCTCAGAAAAGGAAAGGGTCATTTTAATGTAAAAGAATAGTTCACCCAACGATGAAAATGTACTCACCCTCAGGCCATCCAAGATGTAGATTCATTTGTTTCTTCATAGGAACAGATTTGGAGAAATTTAGCATTACGTCACTTGCTCACCAATGGATCCTCAGCAGTGAATGGGTGCCATCAGAATGAGAGTCCAAACAGCTGATAAAAAACATCACAATAATCCACAAGTAATCCACACCACTCCATAAATGAATGTCTTGTGAAGTGAAAAGTTTTTATCAAGTGTTTGGATGCTTATTTTGACGGCACCCATTAACTGCAGAGGATCCATTGGTGAGCAAGTGATGTAATGCTTTATTTCTCCAAATCTGTTCTGATGAAGAAACAAACTCATCTACATCTTCAATGGCCTGAGCAAATTTCAGCAAATTTTCATTTTTGGGTGAACTATTGCTTTAAGATGATCCAAGTGATACAAGGATTGAAAGCTGTATTCTCATGTGTTGGCACTCTTTCTCCAGGTCAGAATGTCCGCCCTCTAAACAAAAGGGAGTACATCTTGGATGTTGCTACAGAAGCTGAGCATGTTGATAGCAACTACAGTCTGTGGTTTCGAAGAGTGATCTGGACGCAGCCACTAAAGTTTGACAGTGAGCTCGGAGTCACTATGCATTACAATCAGGTACATCAGCCGGACTGATTCAATTTCCCAGACATTCCTTTCATGTATTGTGCTGCTTATTGCACAAGTTACAAAGATCTGAGGCATTTGTTCTCATTTTGATCTAAGTTTTCTCTGTTCAGTCTACTAATCTGATCTTCATTCACATTTTACAGGTGTCCCCTGACTACTTGAAAGGGCTGCTCAATGTTGTCCCACAGGGTAAAGCCAGTGAGCAGCAGCTTCAGCAAGTGTCAAAACTGGCAGCTCTTCAACATCGTGCCAAGGACTTGATCTACCTGCCCACCTTGTAATGCAATTAATCTGACTGACATCATACTGAATTTATCAAGCAGATGTTATGTATCAATGAAAAGCTTAAAAAATGTCACATTTACTCCACTGAATCAAATTACAATTGCACTTCATATGTGTGAATTGATTACTATGAATTTTAGTCCTTATACATAATTAAATTATTATTATAATATACCTTTCAAAAGTTTGGGGGTCTGTAAGATTTTTTTTTTTAAAGAATTTAACACTTTTATTCATCAAGGAAGCATTAAATTGATCAATTGAAAGTAAAGACATTTATAATGTTACAAAAGTTTCAAATAAATACTGTTCTTTTTAACTTTCTGTTTATCAGAGAATCCTGAAAAAATGTGGTATCCTCAGTAATACTAATATTCAGCAGCACAACTGTTTTCAACATTGATAATAAGAAATGTTTGAGCAGCAAATCAGCATATTAGAATGAGTTCTGAAGGATCATGTGACACTGAAGAGTAATGATGCTTAAAATTCGGCTTTAACATTACAGGAATAAATTACATTTTAACATATATTAAAACAGAAGGCAGTCATTTTAAATTGTAATAATATTTTACAATGTTACATTATTAATGTATTTTTGATCAAATAATTGCAGCCTTGTTAAGTATGAGAGACTTCTTTCAAAAACATTAAAAGATCTTCTCAACCCCAGACTTTAAAAAGTAGCGTGTGATATATATCAAGCCTGGTTGCCATCATTCTGGTCTCCTAATGCAGTGTTTCCCAACCTTTTTTTAGTCACGGCACCCTTTGGAAATTTTAACAAACTTGTGGCACCCTACAAAATAAATTTTGTCACAATATTTGAATTTCTAACTTCGATATGATAATTTGAAAAGTATAGATATTCGGTACAACAGGGAAGAACTGCAGAGTATAATGTCATACAGATATTTTTAATATTATTAAAAAAATTTGTCCATCAATGGTGGCAATCAGTAGGCTAATTTCTAATGAAGAGACCAATTTATATGACAGATTTTAATGTAGGCTTTTATACATATGTAAGCATTATTTAATTACCATTATAACTAGCTATCTCACAAATTTTTGCTCACTCAGTGTTTTTTTAATTTTACAGTGGGGTAATTTTGGTGCAGTAGCACGAGATAGCTTGATTTCAAACTTTGAATT